TAAGGAAATTATTGAAAGATAGAGATTTGATTAAAATTGTGGAGCGGTCGGTTACGGAAAAATAACTATTTCTTTTTCATTTATGGCCGTTGGTACGTTTATAGTAAAGTGAAGATACAGACGTTTCGTTGGCTTTAAATTCAGCACGAGGAGTTGCGCAATGGGTATCGTACTTGACTTTAGTACGTGGGATTTCGAATGCCGGTCACGTTCGTCGAAAAATATTTGACACTTGTTTTCTCTCTCTCACTCTCTCCCCCCCCCACCCCTCTCTCTCTCTCACTCTCTTATTAATATGAATAAAGCCGTTGCGGCAAATAATTGCTTTATTCCAGCTTGGAGACTCATTTATATCAACTTTTGCACCAGCATTCGGACGCTTATTTTTGAAATAAGAAAGTAACTCTTAAACACATCGTTATGATTTACATAATGTGGAATGTAGCATTTTTAGCGCACGGAGAAAGAGAGAGAGAGAGAGAGAGAGAGATATGGAAAAGGTAGAAGATGCTATTTATCCGACTATCTTCTGCGTGCGCAACTCTAAAAATTTCCTCTCAACTAACTTACCAATCGGACTTCACTTCCATTCCACACCGAAGGATTTCACTTTAGCATAATACAATCGTAAACCTAGAGTGGCTCGACAACTATTGTGAGCCAAAAGCTTCATTTCCACGTCAACGTGTTTCGTCCCTCGTAAATTGCGTCCTCCTTGAGTCGTTTCATTCTATCGGAAGAAAAGCCACGGATACGCTTTATCGCGGAATGACGCTGCCAAACGAAAACCAAGTCGCGTTGATTTTCGGCGCTTATCCCGTCCTTCCATCCTTCCCATCCAAAGCTGCACTCGAGCGAGTGCTTTTAACGCGCGAGCGTTTACCTCGCCTCATACCCCCCCCCCCCATCTCAAGGGACTTTAAAAAGACGAGGCATGCGAACGCGGGGGCGATCACATCGAGTGCCCGACAAATGATCGCGATCGCGTTCGATCACCGAGGGTTGACGGCTTTATTGAACGGCGCCTGTTTCTGGGTTTCCTTTTTTTTTTCTTTTTTCTTTTTTATAATTACGGGGAGGCGGGTAAGCGATTACTTCGGAATTGCTCAACGGTGAGCGGATTTTTCAGTCGACCGACGTTCGAGAGGGATCGGGGACGGGGGTTGGGCGGGACAGCGGGATGGGCGGGGAGGGTGTAAAAAGGCGAGAATTATTTTTCGCAAAAATCGGTGACTTTTTTTGGAAATTTGCAATTTGTCTGGTGATTATCAATGATAAATTACCGATCAAATGAACCATAATAACAGGATGCCAATGTATCTCATTATACTTTGTATTAAATATAGCCAAGTGTTTTTTCAAACTTTGCACGCTGCCCGGCTAAATCTCTCTCATTTATAAAGATTTTACATTTATTACTTGCCTTATCCCGTCTCTGCCCATTTCTTTTCATCGATATAAGGCTAAGGGTGATAGTTATTTACCATTCATAAGCTTACAATATTTAATGCTTATTTACTCAGTTATTTTCCCTTTCGCAACATTCAATATATCTTCAAAAGTATACTTTACAAGTCTCTGTATGTATAACAGTTTATAACATACACTTACTAAGGGTAAAAGGAAAAGTACACGCTTGGCTCGAGTAACTTTGAACCCTCGAAACTGTACGTCTCAAATAAAAATCTCCTCTCCTAGGGCTCCTCCTAATTGATACGCCATTCACGTAATTCAAGCGTCTCATGCTGCGGGAAAGGAGAGAAAGTCAATCGCACAAAAGCCAAGACCTCCGACTCCGCAACCGCCACCGACTAACAAAAAGGGGAGAAAAGAAAAAAAAGTCGCTCTTATCAATATTTCGCTTTATTAAAAGGCATCGCGCTCGCTTGCACCTCGCGATTCTTTTGGCCGCCCTCACCGTTATTACATCGGAGAGGAGCGAGTGAATAAAGGGCTTGGAGTACCAGAAATCGGATGAAGTCAAAAAGAAAAAGAAGGGGGGGGGAGTGAACAAGGGCACGAAGCCCCCTCCTCCGATCCCTACTCTCGAGAATCCACCGCACGGAAAAACACGAGTCCTTACCCTCCACGGGGGCGTATATATTTTCCAGGTCGCGACAACAATGACGAAGGCGAAACCACGAGGATGAGGTAACGAGAAAAAGCACCTGCCTCGCGCTTGTACCTCACTCGGTTTCGACCAACTCTTTATCTATATCGTAAATTGGCCCCATTATGGCGAATCAATGGAAGCAGATTTCTTGAGGTAAATAAGGAAGGCAATGGCGTTTGATGTAAAGCTCGTTTCATTGGCTGCAGCCTCCATCGAATGCGTAATTTCCTTCTTAACGGCGACAAGCAATATTTGCATTAGGCTTGAGATGAACGTCCACTACTTTTAACGCGCGCAATATTTTAAGAATAAATGGATACGGACGGATTTCCATGTCGCGCTGACTTTAAAATTCGGCCGAAGCATCGGCAAATATTTGATTACACGAAATTAGTTCTTTTCCAAAAATAGGATTCTAAAATATTACATCGTCGCTCTTCCAAGTTTCTAATCCAATGACAAAAACGAGAGGTAAAAATTCCGATAAAATATATGCTTCAACCACAAGTTCACTAAAGCGGTTAAATAATATCCCGACATTCCTTAGGCGCAAGAAAAGAAAAAAGCGTAAGAAAGAAAAAAAAAAGGCCAATATCTATTAAACTAGAAATAAAGCTTAGCGATATAAATTAAATTCTTTAGAAAATCCAAGAAAGAAATGACATATGTACTTTCATATAAAAAGAGAAATATTGAAGTAGGAGAATCGAAAATATCACTATATAAAAAATAAACAAATAAATCAAAAAAAAAACAATAATAATAAAGAAAGAGAAAAAAGTCTCGATCTACACATATAATAATAACGCGCGGAGAAATCGAGCTTTGGGAACTGTATTTTTCAATTTCACGCGGTAAAAAAAAAGTGCAGCGGTGGGGCAAAGGGAGAGAAGAGAAGGGCAGAATAGAGGATTGAAATCGACTCACACTGATATTAAGCTCGAGAGAACTTGAGCTTGAATTCCAACGATATATAAAATCGACCACACGCTTTCTGCAATACTTACTGCTACGCGCGAGTTGGAAGAGTAAGACGCAACGAAAAAAGAGCAAAGAAGGGAGGGACACTCATATATATATATATATAGAAAGAAAAAGAGTTGCTCAATGTGGAAAGGATAAATTGAGTAGGTGGAAAAAGAAATCGAGAATTAAAATTTTATTTACGAGCCGTGACTACAGCGAAGGCAATTTCTTCAAATGAAAAAAAAAAAATATATATATCAGTTATGCGTCAATGAACTATTTATTGATACATTTTACGCTATCGAAATTAGAAAAAATTATAAGTGAGAAAAATAAATAATTTATCGCCATATCCCATGTATTTGCTATTAGCTAAATTTAAATCTTACCAACGCCTTCCTTCTTTTTTTTTTAATATATATATATATATATATATATATATATATATATATATATAATGTTCCTGTATGTTAATGTAGCTAATTGAAAGGAGCTTATGTTATTTTTCAAAGCCATTTTTATCAACGCGATTACCTTTTTATAATTTCAAAATCAATTGGAGACATTTTTCCTTTTAATTACATTGTCGACATTAAAACTTTGTTCGTGTATAAAGTCCTAAGTAATGATATCGAATGTTCCGCATTTTTTACATTTGTCAAAATTATTTTCAAAGCTAATTGACAAAACAATTGACGAACGAGTAAAATAATTAAATCCCAAAGCAATTGTCCATTTAATATATAATGCTAAGCAGTGAAATTACTGACCGTATCGTTTAGTAATATTCACGGACAATATGCGAGTAGGACGTTATTGGCAAGAATTTTCGAGAATAATGGTAGCTGTTTATAATTCGTTAGCCAAACTACAATTGCCTCAATGCCAGCTAACCATTTTATTCTCGATACCAATTTTATCGTTAAATACGATTTGCCCACCTCTAGAAATATGACAATCATTTATCGCGTCTATTATTTGTACTCGAAAAACCTGCATACAATTGGGACCCTCGCTCACGTAATGATAGAAAATTCCTTTCGCGCACGTGCAGCTTGCGTACCCTTCTTGTTACATACCGTAATTATGGCCTCGCTCATATACGATTGACATCGCAACAGTCTATCATTAAGAGAGAAAAGAAACTCGGAAGAAAGCAAAAATAGAAGAAGCAAAGCTCCCAACAAAGGGTGCAATGGTACACACGTTAAATAGAGTAGAATAATGCCGGTATAACCTTCCTTTAAAAGAGAGCGACAAGAAGAAAAAAAAAAAAAAAAAGAAAAAAAAAAAAAGAAAAAAAAACGTATTTATTCAAATGGTACATTGAACGATGCATAAAGTGTGTGGAGTTTGGCGATTGTACATTTCATATTTGAATGTTTCTAATAACCCAAGTGACGTCCACGTCTCCACGTTCACTTAGGGTGATTTAACACCAACTAGGCGTTTTCTATAAATACCGAGGATAAATATTTAAGCGGAGAGTTATGGGATCCGGGCTCGGTAAAACAACTAGATAATATAAGTGGAGAAAAAAGCGGTTAGGTCGACAGGGCCACGATTACCCGGTCCACTCGCAACAATAAAGATGCAAGGGGCGGAGGATGGAGGGAAACCAGACGGGGTAGGGAGTAAGAAAAGCCGGGAACACGATGCGCCGGGCTTGAGAAATTGTAATTGAGCTTGAGCTTGCGCTGGAATGGGTGGGTGGGTGACTGGTGGTTGGTGAGTGGGTGGATGGGGGATGGGGGTGGGTGGATGAGAGGCAAAAGCGACGCCCGACATTACACATGCGCGCGGACACACGGAGCAGAAGTGCATAGAGAGCGTCGGCCCGGCTTTAAACGGTCTTGCGCACTGAGTGCCATTTCCCACCCCACGCCCCTAAGTGATTGATCGCGAAAACCCGCGAGCTGACGCTGCATGCAACCACCACTGCTACTCCCGCCGCCGCTGCCGTTGCCGCTGCCGTTACCGCCTCCGACGCCTCCGACGCTGCCGCCCCCGCCACCACCGCCACCACCGCCACCACCGCCACCACCGCCACTGCCCCTACTAGCTCCTTCTGCCCTTCTAGCTCGCTCGCTCCCACCCTCCCGTCCTACCGACCCCTTCCTCTACGCCACCTCCTTCTCTACCTGCGCTGCAATAATATGAAGCGTCGTCCCGGACGATGGCTCGCGCACGCGATTCTCGCTCTTGTGTTTCGCGCCGGCGAGGGCGGCGGAGCCGAGGGGCAGGTTGTCTGGGATGCGAGAGTTGCTTTGGGCTCGGGTTATATGGATTTATGTGGCAGAGCTTGGGAATGAAGTGAGATGAGAAATACTCGAGGATTTACGACGCGAACCCGGCGATTTTTCTTCCCGACTTTCCGTCTTTTTCCTCATCTGCTTCGTTCTCCTTCATTTTTAACGTTTGTTGTAAACTAGGAAAGTAATGTTATTAAGTTACAGTGGCAAGTTCGATTTTTCCGTGCTTCGCTGTCTTAGCTCGAGGTGGTGACATTTAAACGAGACGAAAAACATATCCTCCGATGCTTAAGCTTTGCCTTAATGAGGTTCATGATTTATCCGTCTTTGGCTCACGCGTTGAGATATTGCCAACTCGCACTTTCTTACTAAAATTTTGCACTTCAAAAAATCACAAAGAAAAACAGTAAAAAATTGTATAAAAGAATGAAGTAAAAAGATAAACATAGAGAAAAATAAATTGCAACCTCCTTGCTTTCCTAATATATTTCTGTTAATATTTTATCTGGCGAATAAAATGCGAAAATTGCGATTGCTTTAAAGGCCTTTTCTCTCTCTCTCTCTCTCTCTCTCTCTATGAAGATCTAAAATGCGTTTTGGTTTTATAAACTTTTTCAATGACCTAATGAAAGTTGAAAGGCAATTGTTTTCTCGTAACAATTGTGTATAAAACTTTATTGTTTCTATTTCAGCCGAGAATCAAAGTAAATTCACGAGTCATGTACTTAGTATTACGATATTTATTTTTCTACCCGCTTAAACGCGCGATATATTATATTAATCTAATTGCAAAATTACATACAATTTCCTGATAATGAAGTGTTTTGAGGGCTTGAAGGAAACATTAGAATAAGCATAATTCAAAATAATAATTTATGAAATTTGGTCCCTCTTATCAACTACGTATATCTTTTTATGATTTATCTTACTTGAAGGGTTATAACTATAAAGCTTTTTCGCATTATTTACCACTAAAACATATTTCCAAACTATATTTCAAAGATAAAATTACAGTAGAGATACATTTTATTTATCGACTCTTCTCAACAGCGAATTCGCGAAATTTATATAAGAAGAGTGGATGATTGGCGGGGGGGGGGGGAGTAGTCGGCTTTAAAATTCGAGTCGAGTTTAAAATTTTTTCAATTTACGTGAATTAGGATTAAGAAACTTTATTCCTTATAAATATATACTCTCGTAAGAATTAGGCTTCCGTTAATACCAACGAAAAATTTATTTACTCGCTGTTAGTCTCTGCTTAAGTTTTGCGCTCAAAGCTCTGATTTATTATTATGCTTTTCCATCTCTCCCTGTTTTATACGTTGCGCGTGTTGTTACACATTATTTTCGGAGCGCGTATGGAACCGCCACGGTTTCTTCTTTTCGACTTTTATGTATGTACACTTGGGGAAACCGCAGAGCACCGGAGATTGTTACTTTACGGCACAGCTCTTTCAGGGGATTTTCGAGATCACTTTCAAATTGTTAAATTTAATTCACATGTTCGGGTGCTTTATTTTCTTCCTAAACTTTATATGTTTACATTTGTATCCCTCCTTTCACTTTTTCAAATGGGAACCAGAAGCAAGAGATATAAGGCAATGCTTACGCACAGAGTATAATTGTATAAGAAGCTACAAAGCAAACGTCTTAGGGTGAAACTTGATTAAGCTGTAATTACAACGGTTTAAAAAAAGTATTTGATCATTGGTAATGCCGGCATTGTGATTAGAATTTGAGAGGGTGGATTTTAGTAAAGAAATATAAATTTAATTTTGTGGGGAAACTTTATTACGGGCAGACACTATTTATTGATTTACGGCTACGACGATTTGTGAAGCGTATCGGGTTAATGTGTTTGGTAAAAGCTTCGATAAAAATGAATAATTTTATTAACCGATTATCAGGCTAATCAAAACAATAAAACCAAGTGAAGAAAAAAAAAAAGATAATCCCGGCTATATCATCGAGTTCGTTCAGCAATATATCCAACAACCGAAACTCGATTATCTGTCGATTCGAGCGATAATAATAACGACAACGACAATGACAAGAGCTACGACAACTACAACTACAACGACGACGACGAGGACGACGACGACGACGACGACGACGACGACGACGACGACGACGACGACGACGACGACGACGACGACGACGACGACGACGACGACGACGACGACGACGACGACGACGACGACGACGACGACGACGACGACGACGACGACGACGACGACGACGACGACGACGACGACGACGACGACGACGACGACGACGACGACGACGACGACGACGACGACGACGACGACGACGACGACGACGACGACGACGACGACGACGACGACGACGACGACGACGACGACGACGACGACGACGACGACGACGACGACGACGACGACGACGACGACGACGACGACGACGACGACGACGACGACGACGACGACGACGACGACGACGACGACGACGACGACGACGACGACGACGACGACGACGACGACGACGACGACGACGACGACGACGACGACGACGACGACGACGACGACGACGACGACGACGACGACGACGACGACGACGACGACGACGACGACGACGACGACGACGACGACGACGACGACGACGACGACGACGACGACGACGACGACGACGACGACGACGACGACGAGGATTACGACAACAATGACGACATTGATGACAATGATAACGCTGACAATGACGTCAACGATGGCGATAAGAATAATAATGAGACGTCCCGAAATGAAAGGAAAACAAGGGGGAAAATCATTATACGTGCGCGGCTAAAAATTAAGAACCCACTCAAAAGGCTCGCTGGAAAATCGTGTTTGCGGCAGTTCGACTTCCCTTTGGCTTCGGGCGGTCGAGGTCGACCGCGGGGAAGGCGCCGATGAAAGCGAGGGGGGGCGCGGATTCCGAGTGCGAACTTCCAACGAAGAAAGTCCAATAAAAGTGTCTCCCGCCTTCTCACCCCGCGCCCGTAATAACGTTATGAAGCGATGAAAGTTTAATACTGCTCTCGCGGAAATTTAATATCCCTGTGTGCTCTCTCGTCTTCTCTCTTATATTCTTCTTCTTCGTTGGTTTGCGCAGTCGGAATTACGGATATGATGAATAGAGTTTTCTCGCGCCCCCAAGAAAGAATACGAAACAGCAAAGAAAAAGAGAAGGCGAGAAGCTGGGCGAGTGTCACGCGGATGAGGGTGAATCTCAAATCAAGGGGAAGATAAAGAAATTTCGGGATCGCGCGTGCTAGCGACATTGTATACAGCCGGTCGGGGCGGGATTTGAAAAATAAGAAGTCCGATGCAGACACGCAATATGACGGCATGGAAGGGGAGAGAATGAGCAGGCGTTAAAAAATACGAGAGAAAAATGAAGGATAGTGGGCCGATGGGGGCGGGATGGGGTGGCGAGGGGGCGAGGGAGGCAAGGGAGCGAGGGATGAAGTTGAGGTGGGAGGGGAAAGAAATAATAGAAAGGAAGGAACGAGAATTAATAGATAAAACTTGTGATAAATAGATGAGTGTTGGTTATGCTAAAGAAGGTAATGTGATAATGCTGTTACAGTGAAATGTGCTATGCGAGATTAGAAGGAAATTTTTTTACGCCGACAAAAAGTTTGACACTAGCGATTTTCATAAATGAAATATGTATTACGCATGCGAACTTTGCAACTATGAAACTGAGGAGCTTTCAAAATTATGCTGGTTTTTTTTCTTCTATATGTTATTTTTCTTGTTTTTGTTTTTTATTTTTCATTACTTTGTGCCTTTGACTGACGAAGAATTAAGGAACAAATTGTTGACTTATGTCGCGAGAAAAGTTTTATATATTTTATAATTATGCAAAGCATTCAATTAGTATTCACGAAAGTAATGAGCGCTGAGTTTATATGATATTTATAATGTTAAAACTACAATGCATATTTTATGGTAATGCAAAAGCTTTGATAATTTGCTTGGGGAAGGAAGGCAATTGAAGAGAATTATTATTATACGTAATTTAAGTATTATCTACAAAATGATTATTTTAGTTCTATTATTTAAATCGAGTAGGAGTACGCGGGAAATTTGACTTTCAAAATTTGCAAAAGTTTCCTCAAAACCTTCGTATGAAAAGCTTCGAATGGTGGTTGTAGAATAAAACAGTTCCTACGGACAGATAAAGCGACGAAAATTCCTCTAAAGAATCTCTCTGTAAAGAAGAATCTGACAAAAGTGTAGCGCGGCGGGGGAGAATAGAAAGTCAAGTCGAAGAACTTAAAATTCTGCGCGAATCTGAAAGTCTAAGGGTACTACTATACACATTCTCTGGAAAAATACGTTAGGAGGTAATGGGGAATTTCACAGGGAAAAGGTTTCGACATGTGCGACAAGGTTCGCTTCTGACATGCGTCATTTGATTGCGCGATCGTGTCGCTCTTTCTACAGCGGAAGTGTCATCATATATAAAGATGGGAAATTATACTTTTCCCATTTTTTCTTATTATCGGCTCACTTTTGGAATTCGAAATGAAGTATACTTCATTTCATCTACTATATTTGCTTACTCTAAACTACTATATGAAGTAACGAGTCGCGTTTGTTAATATGTAAATATTGCTAAGATTATTAGATAATTTCAATTATGAGACTAACATATTCCGCAGCGTATCGCGTGATTATTTAATTGGCCGAATAATATATCAAGTAGTGGGAAAAATGTTATTTGTACCTAAAATTCCTTGGCGATTAGCCATCGCTAAGCATTGCGGTAATTTTATGTCAATCGTTAAAATAATTAGTAATTATTTCGCGCCAGTCATATAACATTTATAAGGATTATATATTAAATTTTGCTGGCACTAGAGCGCCAAGTAAAGGCCAGAAAAGATAATTTAATCTATCCAGTCTACCTTTATCCTCCCGCAAGAATCAATTATCGCGTAACACAATGTCGTTAATCCATAAAACAATCACCATTAATTCCAACTTCCTCGAGCTACGCAATACATGGAAACGCGAAGAATAAAAGGCAATCGTGAGGTGCTGAAACTTCATCGGATCAGCCACCTATCGCCCTGGAATAACGCAACGGAGGTGGATATACAAGTCCTTTAATTTTCCGCCCGTGGGAATTTTGCGTATCCTTGTCACGAACAGCATTACATCGGGGTAGGGCAACATACCAGAAAAGGTCGATAGTTATGCATTATCGCAGCTCCTAATGGAGATGGAATCGGGCAAGTGTACAAAAACAACGTGGAACGATCTCGGCAAACTAACACGCGCTTACACACGCTGAGGGCAGAGGGACAAGTGAGGGTAAGGGTGGAGAATGAGAAGGAGCGGAAAATGGAAGATGGAAGAGAAAGAAAAGGTCGAGGTAACGGAGTAGGAGGATAAGTACGGGGGAGCCGCAAGAGTCGCCGCTAATACCACAATTTCGTCGTTTTTCTTCGGCGTCGACTTTTTCCTAATGATTACAGCCACTGTCGTCTCTTCACCCTCCCGCCGGGAGACTCGTCGGTCCGGCGCTCATCCACGGGGATCTACGTCTACGGCTGTGTGCAAGGGGTTGGTCGAAAACTTTTGGTCTTTCTCCAGCAAAAGTTGGCACACGTAACATGGCCGATGCTAAATAAATGTCTGAGCCATTATAACTATCATTTCTCTTCTTGGCCCAGCCGCGTTTATCCATCTCCATCTAAGCGTGGATATGCGTACGTCGCGCGTGTGATTTCTCTCCTCCTCCCCCCCCCCATTATCCCCATACACGTCGACCCTTCGCGTGCTCTTCTCGCTCCCTATTGTAGCGACAGAGCGACCAATGTCATTCGCTTCGGGAGTAGCAGCAAACTTTTGTAATACGTCCTGCAACGACAACGACAACGACGACGACAACGACGACGACAACGACAACGACGACGACAACGACGACGACGACGACGACGACGACGACGACGACGACGACGACGACGACGACGACGACGACGACGACGACGACGACGACGACGACGACGACGACGACGACGACGACGACGACGACGACGACGACGACGACGACGACGACGACGACGACGACGACGACGACGACGACGACGACGACGACGACGACGACGACGACGACGACGACGACGACGACGACGACGACGACGACGACGACGACGACGACGACGACGACGACGACGACGACGACGACGACGACGACGACGACGACGACGACGACGACGACGACGACGACGACGACGACGACGACGACGACGACGACGACGACGACGACGACGACGACGACGACGACGACGACGACGACGACGACGACGACGACGACGACGACGACGACGACGACGACGACGACGACGACGACGACGACGACGACGACGACGACGACGACGACGACGACGACGACGACGACGACGACGACGACGACGACGACGACGACGACGACGACGACGACGACGACGACGACGACGACGACGACGACGACGAGGAGGAGGACGACAACGACAACGACGTCGACGAACCAATCTAAAAGTTTCTATGTGGCGGATCTACGGTAACGCGGGAATAAGAGGGAGGGGGGGGGGGTCGCTCGAGAGAGCGACAGGGAGAGAAAAGGGAGTGAAGCAGCGGATCGACCTTAATGTAACGCTTCGCAGTAACACCGAACGTCAAAGTTTAAAGTTTCGGGGCGGCGAATTTCGCGGGACGAGGGTCGGTGGAGTGCACGGGTGATGCGCAGAAGGCAGCGAATCGTAAAGGCAGTTTGTTTGTCGACGACGAAAAAGCCGAGCAAATATTTACTAGTTATGAACAAGCGTTAATTACATGGTTCTACGACGGGGACACGTGTCTCGGTATTTCGCACTTTTTTCACGTCTTGGTGTTAGAGATGAGGGTAATGTCGGGACTTTGTTTCCGTCTCTTAGCATTTATTGTAGATAAACATCAGCAATTAGCGACAGCAGTGCGGGAGATTTGATAAAGATATTTGGCGGGCGAACGAGAAATGCGTGTTTCACCTTTTAAGGCTGCGATACCGTCGACTACGCAGTGTTTCGTATACACGGCGCTCCGGCTCCATTCAAAGCCCTTTAGGCTTTCAGAGTAATTGTAGGGCATTTAAGCAGACCATTATACGTGCATCGGTAAATTTCACTCTCGCATAAAGTATGGATGTATCATTCGAGAGTCTCGGCGAATTCTCAAAATTAAGCCCTCACTTATCGCGTATTTGTTATTTACATAGCTGAACTAATATGCAAAGCACGAATGGGCACAATCCACAATGCATTATTTATTAGAATGCGAAAAGTAGCCGCAATGCTGAAACAGGTTTGTGATTGTTGTGATTTTTAATTGGTCGCAATAAAAACCAAATAAACCATGGGCTGTAAATTCGTCATGTTGTTGTTCACCGATGATTGAAAAATGCCCAAGTCGTGCATCAATTTATCAGTATTGATAATAATAGCGAGTAAGGAAAGGAAAAGAAGAGGTGGAAAATGAGCTGAAAAGCTTTGGAGTAAAAATTAGCGCATAAATAGTTGAAACTTAATAATAAGCTTTATAGGGAGTCGAATCTTTCAAGTCGATTGCTAATAGGTGATATGTAAATAGGAAGTTTCGCCGATTATTGTTAACGTTGGTAATGCATACAATAATTAATAAGTAATAGCGGATAACCAACTACCAACGCAACGATTGATACTCAATCGTTGTAGACAAAAATTAACACACACACACACACACACACACACACACACACACATATATATATATATATATATATATATATATATATATATATATGCGTGTGTGTGTGTGCGTGTGCGCGCGCGCGCGCGCAAATTTAGTAGTAAATTCTTGTTTGTATTAATAAGTTGGAAATTGCCGACTCGATAGATAATAATAGTAGGCGGTAGAGTCGTCGAGCATTGCCTTGAAGTGGCGCACATTATCCGTTTAATAGATTGATAATTTTGCGCGCTGTATTACCAACTTTTATAGAATAATCTCAATAATTACTTGATTGTTATTTAATGATATATGAAAAAGTCTCTGCGTGGACTCATTTCACGCTAATCACTAATCAATACGAGCCTATGAATGAATGAGCAATTATTACCATTAGACAACTTTTTTTATGTCCGCGACTACTTTTTCTCTCTTTTTCTTTTTTTAATCTTCTTTATTGCTTTGAACTTTCCTTATAAAGCGCTCTTTCATCACTTGAGACACGGCAAATGCCATATTGATGAATATTTATTTAATCGCGATTAAACTTATCTGCCATATCATCACCAATATACATATCACAATATACATTTTTTATAAACAGCTGCTACACCCGATTAAGAATTCACGTATGCGTGTCTTACGGAGAGATTTGTTTCAACATAAATTTCTACTTTGTGCGTAGCTGTCTAATTTAATGTTCCTTCACTTGTCGATTAAAATCGAATTTCTGCCTTGTTTTTTCTTAATGCCATCCGGTAATATCGAGGGAAGGAGGCTAAGTGCCATTTAATTCGTGCCCGTAACGTGAAATGCAAAATTCGTGTTAAACTCCGTTGATTGAGCTTCGTGTCGCTTAAGGCATGCAAAATTGATCAATTAAAAAACAGGATAATAAAGATGAAGGGAGCAAATGAAACCTCGTGGGTAAAATTTCGAGCTGCTTTCGAGATAAAAATCTTCAAAGTATATAATTAAAATGCTGTCACGTACCTGATTTTGATTTTTCGATAGGTATGGACGAGTCGGTGGTCAGCGGTATGGAGGTTATCACCGGTGGGTTCGAGGCGACAATTTGATTCGAGGTCGCCGACGCCACCGCCACTCCCGTCTGTTGCTGTTGCTGCTGTTGCTGCTGCTGCTGCTGCTGCTGCTGCTGCTGTTGCTGCTGTTGATGCTGCTGCTGCTGCTGCTGCTGCTGTTGTTGTTGCTGATGTATTTTTCTCTTGTGGTTGCAGAGCTTCGTCATTTCCCGCGCCTTGCCTTGATTCGGGCTCCAAGGTCGCGTCGCCACCTGCAACCGCAAGTGAAATCGCGTGTTATTATCGGGCTTGACGCTGAGAACACGCAAAATTAAGAGGGCGAATGCCCCTTGCGGTCATTTTATTAGGAAGTCACGATAACGGGAAGCTCGTTAGCACCCGATGACATTCGTGCGGCTCGGAAATTTTTTTCGTTGGGAATCGAACGAGCCGCCGGTCTGCGAAAGGAAAACGTTATCACGAGCATGGGACAGTGGCTCTTGACGGTTGACAAGCAAAGGCCTGTGCGTACGTGCATGTCCGTCCTTGCTCGTCAGCGAGCTTAACTCGGCGGATCACGCGTACAGTGGCTTGCGAGTGCACTCGCTGTGCTTTGATGATTTACCGCATGTTTCCGGGGCCTTTTACAAAGTTTCGCGGTCCCAAGGTCCCAGGATGGCGCGATGCATTTGAAAAATCTCGAGCCAGAGCGCCACCTCGCGCTCGACCCTCGCAAGCTCCGACGCGGGAAGCACGTGCTTCCGGCGTAAGCCCCTCTATGTACAAAGAGGATTGGCGGTGACGGGGGCGGGGGCGCGGGTCGCAGAGACGCCGGTAGCAGAGGATGATGAGCACTGACCACGGATAATCCAGTGACATGCTGTTCCCCGAAGCGGCTCCAGTCGATTTGGAAGTAGAGGCTCATCGCCCTGAATGCATAGACAGCACTCTGATGGTGTTGGCGAAGGAGACGAAATTGGCGAACGTGGCGGATATGACGGAGATGACACGGAGGTACCGATGGAGTATGAGTAGTAGTAGGAGGATGAGAAAGAGGAGGAGGAGGAGGAGGAGGAGGAGGTTGAGGAGAATGAGAAGGAGGTGAAGAAGGAGGAGGAGAAGGAGGAGGAGGAGGAGGAGGAGGAGGAGATGATTTACGAGGCTCGCCCTCCCTGGAGGGCGAGAGGCACCCCGGCGCGATATGAAATACCGGTCGCCCGGTTGCGCAATCGATTACACGCGTGTATTCGCGTGCCTGCGCGCTCACTTACTAACGGCCCTCGACTTTTTTCCTACCGTTCCTACGTCCAACCTTTAAGCATCCCCCGATTTTCTCCGCGTGGATGTGTTTCGCCCTCCCCCCGCAGTGCCCCACCACCGCCGACGCAGCCGC